TTGTCATTGACTGCAGTTGATGGTAAGTTGATGGTAGTGTCATGCATCGCATGTTGGAAATACGACGCGAACCAGCATAGGATGACAAACAATGAAATACAATACAAAGATAATATAAGTTAAAAAAATTGTTAACTCAAAAGATAGATGAAAATATGAAGAAATATATGGAATGAATTAATATATGTACATATCACAAAAATTGTGAATATATATCGAACATACCTGACGAAGCATATTCTCCAGGATGTACTAAACTTCCTAAAAATATAAATATACCAATTTAATTTTCCAAAGAAAAAAATCGAGCTTTAACATTATATTCCCGTAAATATGTTACCGGTAATATCTGCGCCCTCGTCCATTTCGCCCAGCGCATCAGCATCTTGAAAACTTAGTTCTTGATACAATGTATTACCGCTTCGTTGTTCTCTTTCAGTTCTGCTTCTACCACTTGGCGTAGTCGCTAACTTCTCTATACTTGCGGTCGGCGTCGTTGGCGTCATCAAAGTTGGCGGGACTTCCGTTTCTGGACTTTCGTCTGTAAAAATATATTACTAACTTAAAATTTCCTAACTTAAAATCTCGCATTTCAAATAGGACTTTACAAGGTTTAAATATGCAACATACGTCTAGATATAGCTGTAGTCTTATTCTCTTGTACTGGTTGATCAGTTAATTGGCTTTTGTCGGATGTTTCGATAGCAGCCTCACTGCTACTATCCAACATTTCGGTTCTCAAGTTAACGACATTTGATACAATATCTTCTTGAACATCTTCGGCATTTATACTAGCTTCCAAACTCTGAAAGCCATAACTAAGCGGCCCGGAACTACGTGACATATGAGCAAGTCCAAGGGAAGGTAACCGTGATGGTGCACGGCTGGTAGATACACTCTCTAATCTTTCTGTGCTACCAACCAACATTTTGGTCCTCTCCATATAATCGACATGGGTCTTGAATAATTCCGTATATCTATCGTGCAGTCGGGAATACTCGCGTTTCAATTCAGCTTCCTTCTCCTCGAGCCGACCAACTAAAAAAAAATATAAATATTTATTAATAGTAAGCGTAATCTATATATATATATATGAAACAATTTTGGATACGGACTAGACATTATGAAACATGCTTCACATGTTTGTGTAATAAACATATGATATTTAACAAGCAAGAAATCAGTATAATGATTTAAATAACAAACATTTAAACAACGTATAGAAAAAAATATATGATTATACATATCTATTACAAAGTGTCAAATGATAAATCTTTATAACAACATCTTAAATAAAACCATACATGAAATTTGAGAATGACTGAAAAAATAATGAACAAAGGACAATAAAAAATACATAGTAAACCTGCATCCTATGTTCCTCGTTCACTACAAGAGAGTGATATACAAGAATGAATATAAATAACATAAAACGCAAAAAAACAAAATCTTCTACTCTACTGTAAAGGGAAGAACTGTGAACAGGTAGACTGGAAACGTCAATGGCATTTGTACCGTGATCATGAGAATTCTTAGTCTTCAGTTCCAGCATTCTTACAATAGATTCCAAACTATCAATTTTCGACAGAAGTTCCTTTCTCTCATCCTCGGAAACATCTTCCAGTTCGAGAAGTTTCTGATGTAAACATATTCACATTATATTTACAATATAAATGTATTATTTATATATCAAAAATTTTTTAGGTAATTTATTTGAAAAAAAGTAATTACCTGATCTGATGCTTTTCTCAATTGTTTCTCCCTTTCGTACTGCGTGACAAGCTGTTCATTATCTTCTCTTAATAGCTCTAGTTCAACTTCACGTTCTTGATTCTCGGTATATGATATATCCAGACATTCTAACACATTGACTAGCAGAGGCATCAAGTCTTTCACTACATCCTCATCGTATCTCGCTATCATCTTTTCAAACTCTTGATAAATGCTGCCTGCCAAAGACTGCACTTTCTCTGACATGACAACATGGCTATCCTCATGCGTGCCGTAGACCGTTTCTTGATCCATTTTGACCAGTGTTTTGTATATCTATCTATCTATCTATATACCTGTAGCAGTAATACAGAAAAATATAATATTGTACAACAATTTGCAATAGATTAAACGAACAAATTCATTATTGTTAGCTCAGTTTCATGTATATTAGCAAGATTCAGTAATAACATGCTCTGTTTCCATAGAGTTCTATTACTAACATGTTAGCAGCATCTAATTTCATCTTGTTTCAAGTACTTTATGAATATATTTAAAATGTGATAATGGTTTAGATGATCAATTTGTTGAAGTTTTACAAAGTATCTGCCATAAATTTTGTTAAATAAACAAAATACCAGAAAAAATTTAACAAAATTTATTAATAAAATATGATAGCAGATTGAATACAGAAGCAACATCGGCTGTTTCATAGTCATGAGATGATATATATTTCATGACTAGAGAATTAGGTTTTGTTTGAATGAGGTTTCTGCTGACAGTTTACTATTAGTAGTTATTATGTCAGTAAACTTTGCTAGACCATGAGTTGAATATGATTACAATTGACGCTAATATTCTGTTGAAATCTGGATAAAGCAGAGTCATGTAACTTGTAATTATTTAAATGGAACATATCATTTAAATAATTACAGGATGACAAATTCTGCTTAGTTTCTACGATCAATCTGTCATTACACTCTTTTGTTAGATTTCTGCTGACATTCTATTGACAAAATTTGTAGTGAATACTTTGCAAAATCTGTTTTTGACACATTTAGCTATCTGGAAGTATATCAGTAATTTGTCTGCAGATTCAAATAGAATATTACAGCAAATTAACAACTGTATTAAGCTTATGTTTTGCCAATCTGCTACAATCTGACAGCTACAAATTTCCAATGGAAACCAAACAGAATCATGTCATTCCATAATTCCATTTAAATATAATAATTCAATTTGAATGATTACAGAATAACAGAATTCTGTTTGGTTTCTGCTGACAATTTGCTGACCAACGTTGGAAAAACACGAATTTAATGCAGACATAGTTGACGCTAATCTATTGCAATATTCTGTCTTCTGTCCAAGTCTGCTAGCAAATTGCTGGTATGGTGCTAACATTTTGATTTTCTAAGAAAATATCATTTTTATATCTTAAGACACCTCGTAGAATCTAGCCGAACAACACGATATAGAAGAATGATTAATTGCACTACTCAACTCTTTGGACTCGAATTACGTTGCACTTTTCACAGCCAGTTAAACGGATCCTGGGCCACGGGACGTCGTCGAAGGCGTTAAAGGGCGCAAAGGGGTGCGCGTCTCCGAACGTGGACCATCAAGCACGTTGGTCGGCGCGTCGTCGTCCATTCGCCGGACCTGTGAAAGGTCGGAAAAACAGCTCGGTAGCGGTCCACTGCGAACGACGTTCGTCGATGGGCCGAACGTCAGGCGCATAACTCCGCTTATAACCTCCTGCGTGCAACTCCGTCCGGGATGTCGCGCGAGAGCAGCCTCGTGTCGTTTTGCTGCGCGAGGATCAGCGAACGGCGACTCGACGAGCGGTCGGCGCGGTGTCTCATCGCATTATCTGCGCGTCGCCGTCCTCTTTTCTCGTCGTGGATCAGTCGTGGACTCACCTTGTCCACCTCGTGCGCCGCTCACGAGCCGCACGCGCGCACGTACGGGGTCCGATCACCGACGGTCGCGCGTGACGTTTCGCAACCACTGCCGCGGGAGAGATTACGCTTTTTTTTTCTTCCTTTTATTCTTCTCTTCGAGTCCTTCGCGAACACCTCGGCGTGACAGTCGCACGACACGACGAACGGTCGACTCACTGTCTGTCTCTCTCTCTCCCTCTCTCTCTCTCTCTTTTCCGCGTAATAAATCAACACAGAATTCGGAGCACAACTGTCAAACGATGACGACAGGGCACTAGGACAGAATCAGTTGAAACCAGTCTTTACACCCCGTGAATTCTTCTAGTCGTTTTTTGCCATCCAGCGATTTGCTGTCCCCTTCGACCCCGATTGCAACGTGTTCGGAAATAGATGCTCGACATCCCCGTCTGCGACAATCAGCGACGACGTTGCCTTCGCCTACTCTCGGTTCACTTCCGTTAGGTGGCCGTGGCGTCATTCCACGGCAACCATCGTGCTCGGACAGACGATTGATAGCGCGTTTTATCATTGACTAGCACGAATGGATACGAATCTACGTGGCGCAACTAGACGGAACCACGATCAGCCAATCGATCACGCCGTCGCATTGATAGCGAGATCTCCAGCGATTAAAAATTTTTTTTTTGTTTGCCACAAAGTATAATATATACGAGCGAATTAAAAAAAAATAGGAATGATTTTTTTATTGATCCAATACTACTTGAAAGCATTCTAAACAAGAAAGTTCGATGAGCTCATAGCAATTTATTTATCATCATATCATATACTCGTACAATAATCATTTAAAGACCTTCCTCTATAACAGAAAATATGAAGAGGCAAAGATATTTTTATATTATGAAAGTATCATATGATAAAAGTTTAGAGAAAAAAACCAAGTATTACATGTAAACGAATTACACTGTGATTCTATACTGTATTACATGTTCGATACAATGTCATCGCATATTATACTATTATATAATAGTACGATAAATTATTATAGCAGTTACAGTATACTAGTATAGTATAATATTAAGATGCATCCAGCTTATCGAACCAAACCTCGAATCAAATCTAGAGACAAACAGCTTCGAGTTAAAACTCTTAGGTATCACATGTATATTTGAAGCCATAATGCTAGAAATTGATCTGAAATTTCAGATAAAAAAAATTATCAATCGCAATAATTACATGACCAAATTGTTCTAATGGAATTTGTAAATTCTTTCTCTATCTAAGATTTCAGTCTAATTTCTAGCATTGTGAAGCTTTACCACATAAAACACAGAAATGCTAAGAAAGATAAAACACTTGAATACTAAGAAAGATAGAAAAATACTTGTGTCACTAAATGAAAGATATCACAATTGAAATCACTGTTACAATGACGATCTGAATAGTGGGCGAAAAGAGTTTATTCCACGCCCGCCCTAACACAGAAGTCTACATAAGTGTTTACTTTTTCTTCTTCTCGAGATTCCTCTGTTTGGACTTCCGATTCAACATAAAGCGTCACAACTCCATGCAACAAATTTGGATCAAGATCCTGTAATAGTCTCTTCGAGGGCTAGAGATTCCTCGATTAACTCAAACTTATTTCCTTCAGTGCGATGCTTCCAGAGTCAATGCAAGCTCCTCGCATAAACGAGAATACAAATACTTACTAAAAATAGATTTTGGGACTCTGCAAAGAAACATCACATATTTCCATATATCCCATAAAACGTGATCTAACTGTATTAATCTTCATAAGACTTGCTTCGAAAAATAGGTGACAACCTATTTTTTTAAAATAAATTAAAAAAAAAATTGAAACTACAGTATGGATCGGAGAAATGTTTGTGACGCTCATGACTTTAACTCATAGCTCATCTTTAAGTTCGGTTCAATAATCCGGATGTATCTTTATAGTATATATACTATTATATAATAATATAATATCAATCTCCAACCTAAACCTACATATATACATGAGCAACTCAACTTCCGTCCAGAATTATGGTAATAGCGACGAAATTGTATTGTTCAATTTAGGTTTCTTTCTCTTCATATGACGATACTTTTCATTTTGACAAAAATGCTATGCCTGCAAGATAGATGTCTTTAAGCTGATGTGTTGAAACCATCGTTCGGTGAAGGTCACGGACTTCCTCTCAGCCATTCTTGACTTCAGCCATTCTATCACATACATTTGAATGTTTAGTGAAAATATATTAAGCTTGCAAACATTGTAAAATTTTTGAAGGCTTAATCCCTTTTTCAGTCCCCTTTTCACTTTTATGATAGCTCGAACTAACACATTCAACTCATTCCATATTGCCGCTATTATTGTATAATCATAATGTCTCGCTTCCATTCTATAGAGGGAATTTCCTTATCGTTACAAGAGAGACGGTAATTCGACATTGCACTGTTTCTTGGAGAAATAAAAAATTCTAGACAAAAATTGAACTATCCATGCAATTAAGTAATTCAATCTAATATGTGCTGATTTCTAATTCTGGACAGTAACTTAAAGTGTATCACCTTCGTCAACCAAAGTAAGAAGGAAGGCAATACACTAAGACACTTCAGATCAATGTCTAGAATTATAAATCCTGAATTGCATTCTAAAGTATAAATAGCAACACTAATTACAGTTAGTTTAAACAAAATATTAATTAAAGTAACGTCCACGATTGCCACTATTATTCCAGTTTCCACCTCGACCGCGCGGACTGCCCATATATCCCCTGTTGTAACTTCCTCTATTGTAACCACCGCTGCGGTTATCATTAAAGCCGCCACTATTCCCACCATAAGACTCGTTATTCGAGACTGGACCGCGATAACCTCCACCTCCCCGCATCATTTTTGGAGGTGTGTTAAAATTACCGCGGAAACCGGTTACATGTCCCCTGGGGGGTCGCGCTGATTGAAAACCACCGCCGGTTATCGGCTCCAACTCATGACGACAAGCATTCATGCTGCATAATGCCTTAATCACGCTCAATATCTGAAAAAAAAATTTATCAATAGTGTTATCAGAGCTACATTCCAAAATGTCCTCTCCAAAGAAAATTTTAAAACTTGATATAATATAATATACGTTACGTTTTTGAAACGTAGTTCAAGATATTGTCGTTTACCAAATATTACGGAAAAAGATTGAGAAAAAAGAGAAAAAGAATTTTTTCTAAGTATAATAAAAGAGATATTAAGTTAATGCACAAAAGATTTCATATTTGTAAAATAAAGTTTTATAAAAATAGCAGTAAAATTAAAACAAAATGTCATTAATGGTTTCAATATATTTTATTCTATTTAAAAATATTTTTTGTTTATTCAGAAGTTTTTCAAATCTTTTAAGAACTCTGGATCTTATCGAAGACTCCTCAGTTATAAAATATTTCTATTTTAATATATTTTTTGCAAGAATATTTATTATATATTTTTTCGTTTCTGACATTATAATCTAAGATTAGTGGCCAGAAATTTCAATACAAAATTTAATAGAAGGATGACAAATCTTTTATGTTAACTTGATGTAAATATAATACATGTTAATTAAAATTTCAAATTTGATGAATACCTTTTCCTCAGTCGGACTCAATTCTAGAATTGTTTCTGGATCCTTGGATGCCCTAACTACAAGACTTTCTAAAGCTGGTCTCAGAGCAACGATAGCTGCTGCATGTTGCGGATTCATATCTAAGTTGATCCAGTTGTCCAGTTTAATCACGCCATCCACGTATTCTACTTTTCGTGACCCAAATAGTAATAGATGTATAGGCGACACCATAGTCATTTGCTTGCAAGATACAGCTCTTGTGCGAATCTAATGAAACAAGATGGAGAGTTATCGAGGCGTGAGTGAGAGAGAGAGAGAGAAATGTTCATGTTATCCATACACAGCACGCATATCCAAAATTAAAACATAAAATATCTTATATCTCAATTCTGGATATTGTGCTGTCTAAATACCTTTTCACCAAACACGAAGAACGGAAATGGAAAGTTTTGTTCGAAGTTGCTGCAATTCACCGATGTTTTATGAATCAGCGCAGCCTTCGATTCTGTGGTGAGAACTTTCCGCTTCTCCTTATGATAGCACACATTGGGGTACAGACCCATGCACAACAGTGCAGTGATGGTGTCGAGACGCGGATCCGCACCTGCTTGATAATTTAGTGGCATGGGGCACAAAGTCTCCTCGGGAAAACCAGCGCTTTGCAATAGCGCTTGTAGTTGGTTCTGCACATATGAAATAATAAGTCATTATCACGAGTATATAAGGATATACGCTAGCCACATCGCAATTCTACCGACCTTAGCTTCCCAGGTAATTCGTAAAGTTGGTAGACTCAGGCTCTTTGAATCACAGAATGTCTGTTCTGCCCATTCGCCACCTGTTCTCGCTTCTTCCCATGCTTGAAAAGCATGAAACATTGCGACATGGTCGCTGAATCTAGCACCGGCAAACCACTTTTGCTGAGCAGTCAGCCTTTTCACATCCGGACCCATGTTGTATACCTCGGGGAAAGTGGTACTATTTGCGGCCATCGTCGAGAGCGCGTCGCCCACGCGAAACATACATCCTAGGATCATCATTTTTCCCAACCGCGGTTCTATAGGTAAACGCGCCAAAATCTTGCCAAGAGGCGTTAATTCATCGTTTTTATCCAAGCATTTCATTTCTGCGTGCATAAAAATACAAAGTCTTAAAAATTAATTGATTATAAGAAAAGAAAAAGATAAAAGGTATGTACCTCTTAATACAACTTCCGCTTCAATCACGGCATCAATGGGAGGCGGCTCAATTGCTTTTGATAAGAATTGACCGATATTGCCTAATCTTAATAGCTTGATACTCAACGCCAATTCGTGCAGAGGCGTCCTGAACATTTCTGGTGTCATGTGTTCATCCATCTTATTGAATCGGGCTTTTGAGCATAAATGGAAACAGAAGCCAGGCCTAACGCGACCCGCTCTACCCTTACGTTGTTCGAGATTCGTTTTACTGGCCCAAACAGTTGCATAATTAGTCATATTATTGTGCGAAGTGAATAACTTCATTTTGGCCTTGCAAGAATCTATAACGTAGACGACATCGTTGATCGTGATTGAAGTTTCTGCAATATTTGTGGACAAAATAATCTTCGTTACAAATGATGGAACAGGATCAAAAACTTTACGCTGATCTTCTCTCGGTAATTGCGAGTGTAGTGGGATAATGAGATAAGATGATCCGCCAAAGAGAGAATGTTGCTGAAGGTGTTTCATCAACGCGAATATCAAATTCCATCCAGGGAGGAAAATCAGTACAGCACCTGGAATATCCTGTCTTTTAACATACATAAGTAGCGCCTCTATTAACTCAAAGCTTATCTCTTTCTCTGTCAGCTGTCCCATAGCGTTTTTTGTTTCAACAGAATAATTATTGCCAATGACTTTATTCAGATTTTCTTCTGGTTCTGCGTCCGGTATTGGCAAATCGTCCGAGTCCTTAGATTTACGTTTCCCAGAACTTGTAGGTGGAAAAAAATTCGTCAGCTGTATACAGTCCTCCAAGAAGTATTGCTGAACGGGATACGCTCTACCAGGAATCTCCACCACAGGACACTTGTTGAAATACTCGCTGAACAATGTTGTATCAATTGTAGCAGACATGAGGATGATTCTGAGATCAGGATAGAGATGGATCATATCTCTGAGTACCACCATAATGAAATCTGAATTGACATCTCGCTCATGGATCTCATCAACTATAACGTGCGATACGCCTCTAAGACCACCTTCCAGCTTTCTCAAGAGTACACCAATAGTGCAAAACATTATACTAGCATAGGGTCTCGGTAAGTACGACTCAAACCTCACGGAATATCCAATCGACTGTCCCAAAGCCTCGCATCTCTCGACGGCGACTCGGTCAGCCACGGAAACGGCGGAGATTCGTCTGGGTTGAGTGACAACTATACTGCAATATGCACCTTGACCGGATGCGATATAATCGTCCAGAATGAACTGGCAAACCTGCGTAGTCTTACCACATCCCGTATTTCCACGTATGATAATGATTGGATTTTCATTAATTGCATTCATGATCTCGCTTTTTTTGTTGAAAACGGGCAGACTTGTTCTTTCTTTGATGCTTGCCTGCAAATTGGAGTCCTGCTGCAGCTTTTCTCGTTGTTCGTTCATTAAATCTTCTGACAATTGATCTAGAGATGTTGTTGCCAGCGGTCCCTCATCTATATTACATCCAGTCCATGGATTCCAATTTGGCTGAGGTGGTGACCAGCTTACGACACCAGCGGGTTGCGGTACGGAAGATATGAAGTCGTCCAAAACTTGATTTGTTAGCAAAGATACGCCAGTTAATGTATCTTTGTCGTCTTTCGGTATAGTTGTATTATTATCTTCTGTTGTAATCGATGACTATATTTTGAATATTTTTTATTATAAATCTAATTAGATATTTTGATACATCTAAAGATATATATATATATATATACATATATATGTAAAATAAGGATAATCAAAATGATTAATACCTGTTTAATATCAATTGGTCTTATATCTAAACTCATTAGAACGTCGTGAATCTGACTCTCCAGTTCCGGTGAGATTTTGACAGGATAAGGTCTCATCTGTTCAGTATCCTTATTCTTTTTTAATGTACCACTAAATGCTTCAATTACACCTAGATGATATAGTTGGCGAACAATAGATAAAGCACAACTTTTTGAAGCTGTTTGTTTGTTTGATCCAGTTTCGCGGCCAGTTATAGCTGAAGTATTAAAATATTAAGAGAATTATTACATTCTTATGTAATACGGTTAAATGTATTTAGATAAATATAAAAGAAATTAAAATACTTCGTCCAAGTTGTTTAATATAAAGTGACATTTCTGCCATAAAACTCCTGTGAAAAATAATATCTGTTATAGATATTATAAAATGTACTATATATTATTAATATAATTAATAATTAAGGGAACAATGTGAAAAAAACACACAGAATTAACACAATTCGAATATACAAAAATATTTTAAATACCTGAATAAGATATTTACTGTACATTAAAAAAATTATTAATATAAACTAAAAAATAATTTTTGTATATTAATTTTACTTATTGAAAAATCAATATAAGTTGTTTTATTATCAATAATTTCTTATAAAATTTGTCAAAATAATTACATATAAAATAATTAAATTTATTTCTTGTGATAAACATCTATATCAAAGGTAAATTTTTTGTTTCACTTATTCCCTCAATTAATTACAATGAATAATGACTCACCATTTGAAGATGTCACAGATGACCACATTGGAGTACATTGAAGAAAGTTTCTTTATGTAGTTGCACCAAAACCATTATTAAATCATTTTAATAAAAGTTTTGGTTTAACGCATTTGTGCAGAAGAGAGTCATCGTCGACTCTCTTGCACCAGCTTTAGATGGAAGTGAACAATATACTCCAAAATGGCCTTGTTAAATCTCAAATGGTACAACAATCAGCAAGCAATTGTTTATAACAATAAAACATATAAATTGAACTATGCACTGCATTGCAATGCCATTCCAATGTTCTAGAAAAAGTCCATTTGCAAGACTCCATACCTCGTATGATCCGGACCGACCGGAGTATATTTGTAATCTGCATTAATTTTGTTAGTTTGCATAAATTGATGTAGCTTGGACTTGGCATTTTCTATCGTCCAGTTCCCGTGTATCCCAGAGTTCACGTCAACGTCCTCAGCATCTTCCACTTTCTTTTGATCAGCCAGCCTATCCATGTATGTATAATTACTCTGGCCATGTTCATTGTACGGCCTATATGCTTGACCAATGTCATTCGGTCCCATGCCTCCTTGAAACACCGATTTTATTGGTGTTAAAACTTCGTTCTTAATAGCATCCGGTGTCATCGTCGGTATTCCAGCATCTTTCGGTACATCGCTTGAATTCACGCGATTTGTACGTACTAAATAGTTGACATAATCTCTCGCGGCATTTCCTTGCGCGTCCTTCTTGTTAGTCGAATTTCCTGCGCCAACATAGTCGAACCCAGGTATTCGTAGTTCGCAAAGGAAACGTTGTCTGTGCTTCGGTCCTGTAAAACGTAAATAATCCATGTTCAATTCATTTCAACTAATTTGAACGGAATAAAATCGACAGATATACTTACCTGTTGGTCTAACATCAAATTGCGGTTCTTTGCCGTTCTTCGCACACCACTGGTGGAAGAAGGATTTTATATCGCCCATTTTTCGAAGTTTTCGTTACTATTCTCAGGTATTAACGTTCTTCTGTCGTATGTAAAAAAATAGTAAATGTTAATAAAGTAATCGTCTCGTATCTTCGCTTATATTTCTAAAAGAGCGATGATAAAGACTAGACACGAAAATCAGCAAAATGTCGAGAAAGTTAATTTAACCTAACCTAACATAGGAGGCGATTTACTTGCGTTACAAATGCTTCGTTGACCAATCAGGAGAAAGGACTGTATGAATTGACCAATCAAAGAATACCAAAGGATTTGGAACATGAAGTGGATCTAGATGGTACGAAATGCGAAATACGAGTTAGAATGTGCTCTATACCCATGGTGAAAGGGATAATATTGACCTAATTTCCCCCGGGGTTTAAACTAAATCAGAGTATCAATCATGAAACTTTATCCCTAGGATATAAAGTGAAAAGCAAAAATTTTTACCATTGAAATTAATAGAAAAAATTTTCACTTTTCGCTTTCCATATCCTAGGAATAAAGTTTCATGATTAATACCCAGAATATAAGAACCAACCAACTACAGTCGAGCATTCCTCTGTCGTTCGACTGTAACAGGGGAATGCTCGACTGTAGTTGGCTGGTTCTTACATTCTGATCCGGTTTAAACCCTCAGTGGAAACTAGGCTATTGTGTGTGCAATTTGCAAGCATCCCTCTTTGAATCTCTGCCGTCTCTGCCTATGAATGTCGTTAAAAGATTAAAGGTAAATTTTTACGAGCTGCTCAAACCGGCTATTTCAGCGACAAAACGTGGTCAAAATTGACGAATGATAGTCAATTCGGAGAGGCGATATTCATAATCCATTTTTATTTTAAAACCGTCTTAAATAATGTTTTAAGATGTTAATACAGTCCTCGGATTAACTCATCTTAAGACTGTATTTAAATATAAATTTACTATTTTAATTAAATATCATACTTGAATGTAATAATTTTAATTAATTTTTATGTATTTTATTGTACTTTTTTTTAGTGAAAAAATATATATTAATTTAACAATTCATAATTTTTATAGTTAAAAAATTATTAAATACTTATTGACTATAATTAATTTTAATTAATTGTTTATTCTAATGTTACTGCGGCAAGTAATAACACAAGTTTTGTTAAGAGAATTTACGAAATTTTTACAGTTTAATAAAATATATTTTTAAAATAATCCTCTTAAAAATATAATTATTTAATATATTTCGAAAGTTATATTAGGAAGTAGAAATAGTTATATTAAGTTTACGTACATCATAAGAGTATTTATGTTAAAAATGTGCAAAGATCTTATCAAGTCTTTTCCGTATATTACAAAAATATTATTCGCACTTACAAGTATTTTAAAATTTATGAAGAAATGTTTGAACAACACTAACTTATTAATAAAACGTGGATATGTGCGACAATAATAAAACCTATAATCTACTTAATATACTACAGCTGCGAATAAAAATTGCATTGAACTACAGTTCTGTTCGGTGAAAGGAAAGCTATTATAAGCAACGCTCTTTTTTTTCCTTTTAACGAATACATTTATTAACTTCTAATCTCGACTGTACTTTCAACTATGGAAGCAATTTAATAGATTTTTGCATTCCAATATCACCAAGCAGTAACATATATCAATTCCTATTTGTACTGTATTTTACATATGATAAAATTTGAGATTCGAATCTTTAGCACGATTGGAAAAAAAATTTCGTAAAAATTTGTCAGGTCATTTTCACAAGCGATAAAGTTTACTATGTCATTAATCTACAAAGTAAACAGACTCTTGAGATGCCTACAAAGCAAAATTATATTGTTTAAT